AGGCAAAAAGCTCACTGGGATGTGACATGCAAAGGAGAGTGCAGGTATTGTGCACAACCTGACACTTTGTTGCATCGACTGCATTGCAGGCAACATGACAAAGTGAGGACCAAGTGTGCGCGCTTGCACAGGTTGTGGGATTCTCTTCCCAACTGCATGACACAGCATGGGCTGTCTCCAACTTGAACTTAAACATGAGTATTGGAGGGCACTCCTGACGCTACTGAGAAATTTGAAATAGGAATTTACATAGAAAGCTATCACTTTTCATTGATGGGACCTTGCAGTCACAGAGCAGATCCGGCAGTTGCGCAGGAAGCTTGGCGGTTTTTTTTTGAAAGAAATGGTCAGCGCTGGACACTGACCGCATTGATCTCGTTGAGATGAACGCTGAACACATCCATAGGCCAATCTGACAGGTGTGGACGGACAGTCAATCAGTGTGCGGCGGACACCCTTTTTTTGATCCAGGAGACTAGTGACCAAGGGGAGAGCATGCCGATCAAAGAGAACCATTCTTGGCAATCCTTGACCCTTCTGTCATTTGCGCTTGATCTGGTCACACATCCCTGACCAGACTTGTCGTAGCAAAGATTTCTGGAGCATTCACAAATGTTTCAGCAGACAACGAACATGGATGCAAAGAAACAATCGAATCCCCAGGAACACTTGCCGGAACTTGCTCAGGCACATGAAACCTTGAAGGATTCCGAAGCAGCGGAACGACTGACTTTAAATAAGCTGGCGCCTCCAAGAGTGAGCGATTTTGCTAGGACAGTTCCCGGAAATATGATTTTCCAAGCGCGCCGCCATGGATTTTTTTCTGACCAGTTTGGGACTCACCTAGGCGTTTCACCACAAATCCGAGCTGCTTCGACTTGGACGATAGGCTTCGCGCGGTCGGTCTCATCCAGCATGTCCTGGCGGTTCTTGGTGGACCACGAGACCGAGTGTCCACAATTCCTGAACTGATTTTGGGTTCATGGGATAGCCTGGCGACAGAGAAAGAGAACCTTCCCACAGCATAGGGCCTTTAAGTTCAAGTTCACTCCCATGATTGGCCTCTGAAGCCAGCTCCATGGAATGGAAAGAGTATGGCAACCCCGTGCTGCAATCATTTCGCTCAGCTTGATTCCCCACTCGTGCGAGCTCCCCTCATCCTCCCACTTGACGTAGTCCACACAGCGGGGATTGCAGCCGACGGTTGTGGCTATATATCCTGCTAAGCCCATCTTTGTCACTGAAGCTTTCTTGGACTTTCTGGCAAAGGATGCACAAAAGGCACGCCAAAAGTCAACATCACCTTCCTCTCTGTGCAGGTTTCAACTGCAAAGGGGCGCAGCGGCGCACTTTTTTGGAACTCAGGTTGCGGGAAGTCAAGTGTTCTTTCAGTCTTTGTGACGAAAGGTGCAGCAAATGTGACGATGACTAGGTGATGCACCTCACAGGTCCACCTTCACTTTGACCATGTCCGTCATTGTTTTCATCCTCCTCCCATTTTTCACCTTCATAGCCACCTTCACTTTGACCAGGTTCATCATCGTTTTCATCCTCC